ATATTCATATATATGAGCTCTAACTGTTTTATTATTCACTTTTGATCTTGCAATACCATCCTGATAAACACCAAGTGTCTTTAAATATGATAAAGTACGTTTATTAATCTTATTATGATCCGAAATTATGCATAAGATAATCTTTTTCCATCCGTCTTCTCCCTAGTTAAATTCAAGAGGTTATTAATAATAGAAAAGAATTCTAAATTATAATAAGCACGTACCCATGTCGGAGACTCTGTAAGGGAACAAAGGTAAGCAATATTTTCTATAATCCTCTGAAGAGTACTAGATAATAGAATTTCGTCTTCCTATTAAAATTTATTAAGACAAAAATAATTATAAAAAATTGTCAATATATCAAATATATTACTAATGATCTTGATTTTCTTACATTATTTACAGTTATTAAGATAAATAATTCGGTCTGTCTCATAGGTTCATATCCAACTTGACGAAGGGTAAAATTTTCTTGCTTGAAAGAATCTGGCTTGCTTGTGCAGGCAGTATATCTCATATGTGTAAATTCTTTTGAACTTTCATGAGGGCTATCTGTTAATAAGCTTGAGTGCACAGGACATTCTATTACCAAATTCCCGTTTACTAATTCAATAGGCTTTATTATTTTATGCTGATCGGAAATCAATACAAGACCATTATGACTTTGAGTCGATGATTTACAAATACTAAAGGAATGTTTATTTAATGGTAAATTGTCGAGAGCCAATCTATAAAAAAAGAAATATTAATGATTAAAGACAGGGTAGTAGCTTAATAGAATAATAAAAATGCTATTCAAAAGCTATTAAAAAGGTAAAAAATATTAAATGTAGTAACTATCTTCAAATGTGCATTCCTATCTGTCAATGAATTATTGTTGTAATAAGTATCACAGTTCAATCGGAGTGCCTACATAAATTTCTTAATCTCATTACTTTCTCCAATAGCATTTACTTAGAAAGTATTCATTATAACATTTATATTTACGTGCCATTTGAAGCGTCACCAAAAGCATTGATTTAAAAAGGAATGAATAAATTCATAACTACCTGTCAATTGTATCTTCACATTCAATGCAACAATAACCATATTTATTTACATCATCATCTTCATTAGGATATAATTCAGACTGTGTAATTATTTGATTTATGTTATTTGTGACGAACTCAATAGCCGGGTCAAACAATAATTTGTCAAGTTCTTTTAAAATATAATCCAATGTTGGACGCCGGTCCGGATTAGAAGACCAACATTTCTTGTAGAGGTTAGCAAATTTTGGGGGAGTATTATTAA